CCCTATCCAAATGCTCGCCGCTCCTTCGAGCGCGGTGCACAGCGACGGACCGCCGGGCCGGCTTCCTCGGGCGTTCCGCAACTTCTGGGACTGCGCGAGGCCCCATGTCTCTTCCCCGGGCTCCGCTCTTGCGGGGCGGCGATGAGCAATCGAGTCGGGGCGCATGTTGACGAAGGCCGCCGGCGTATGACATAATGATTGAAAGGTGACGGCAGCGAGCGCGGGCGCCGCGGCGTGCTAAAGGTACGCCCGAGGGCGGCGCCCTCCGCTGTGGGGATTGATCGCCTCCTGGCAGCGCGACGGAAGCGCATCGGTGGCCTGCGACTGCGCGCCCGCGCGGCGGTTGCTGTTACTGTCCCACGTAAGCGGCAATTATTTGTTGGGCATTATGCCGACCATGTTCTTAGAGCGGACGAGAAGCGAGGCGCCCGGACGGGCCGCCGACCGGGGGTCCAGGGACTGTGGAGCGGATTTGGGATGACAGCCATCTGGCCAGGGGCGATCAGAGCGCCTCCATAGGCCCGCTGAAGCCTCGCGGAGGCCAAGGCCACCAGCCTGGACCGCAGCCGAAATGACGGTTTTCCTGGAAAGTGCCGGGATTGTTGCAAGAGCCGCGGGGTACCTGGGGCCGCGAAATGTCGATGGGCCGAACGTACCTACTCGCAAACTGTTCTGTTTGGTTCTTGATTAGTCGATGTTGTGCTCAATTTACAATAGACCCCAGGCTCAACAGAAGTGCACTCCCCTTGCATTGCAGGTTGACTTGCAACATATGGGTGAAACATTGGACACAGCAGCAGCAGCCAAGCTCAAAGGCCTGGTCGTTAACTGAAAGGATCTGAAGGATTGCACCGATAATTGCCGGGCGATGCAAACATGGTTGGGTCGTGCTTTCTGCTGACCTTTCTGCAGTTAAAGGCTGGCCATTGCCCCGCCTGGCTGAAGGGCACTGCGTTAACAATATCATTGTTTGAAACTGATAACAATGGTCAACATACAACAGCGAACTGACTCGGCGATGGGGCCACGACCATGTGGAGCACAGGGCGCCATAAGTGTTTTATGAGCCGATCTTGCCATTTTTCGCCCCATCGCACTGCCCCCGAGTAGTTCACACCGAAATATTCAGATATCAGATGGACAGATATAACCTGCCTAAATGCTGACGCAGAGGAGAGTGTGCCCCCATAGTGATCCATGTCGAGAGTGCCAAATATTGCTGCTCTGTTGCGTTTTTGGAAGGCAGATCCTCGCCACTTCTGCAGTTATGAGCTGTGAAATGTCACACGCAGCACTTGCAAGCCTTTGGCCAACTGGGATATTTGGTAGTTTGGGTTGCTTTTAAAACATATCAAACGGTCAGAGCCCTTGCGCCTTGCAGGCGGGGACGGGGACAGAAACATCAGTCAGTGTTGATTACTGTCCCAAGCTCATAGTTCCATAAACCCCACAAGAGGACTAGTGCCTGTTGCAGTCTGAAGTGGTACAGTGCAGCATTTGTGCAAGAGGTTGACTGCTTTTGTGCTGAAATGCGTGCTTGATGTTCTGGCAGATTCTGTACAACATCTGCGGCAGTGTGTCGCCAGGGGAAGTGCTGGCGCTCATGGGACCATCAGGTGTGGGACATTTCCCGCATGTACACATTATCATCCACAAACCGCTTATCTGGATGTATGTCCAGAAATGCGACTCACTGACATTTGTTCCTGGGCCGCCTTTTGGTCATCCAGAACAATGGAAATGTGCATAATATCAAGACGTTGGGGAACTGTTCCTGGGAATGCATCCCTGTGCAGCCCCAGAATCTGAAATGGCAGTTGGGATGAGCACATGGTCTCACCATCGTTGCAGGATTTCAGCTGGACTGGCGATTCCACACCACCTAGCTATCGTGTATGCAGCTGCACAGCTGTGAATGGTGCAACAGGTGCTCATGTGCAGTCCACTTATGTCAGACTGCAGACCCCTTGCCTCCCAGTTGCATTCTCCACTGTTGTTGCATCCACCCTGCTTGCATAGCTGTCAAACTGCAATCGAGAAGAGTCGAAAGTATTTCAGAAAGTCTTGGAATGTGGATTGTTTGTTCAGGTTTGTGGCCCTAGCGCTGACCTGTGCCCTTTCTATGTGTCTGGTCCTGTCCTGTGAATGAAAAATGCGTGCAAGCGCTGCTGTATACATACTAATGTATGTGCTGGGAGACTAGTGCATGAACAGTATCCACAGAAGCACAAGTCAAAGCACTGCGTTTGCGGCATGTTGGCGTGAATGGTGCATGAAGACAAGCCTGAAGTGCATTTCATTGCCTTGGTTTCATCAGGATCTGGGAAGACGTCGTTCATCTCTGTTCTTGGCGGAAGGAAGCCAAAGTAAGTACCCGCCACACGCGCTAGCTTTTTTTAATTCCAAACGTATTACATATGTCTAAGAACGAGGGAACTCCCCTGCAACTCTCAAAGTACAGTAGGATCCTTTCCTAGCTGTTTGCTGGGCGTTGACATCCCGTGCTAGTGCGCCAGCCAATTAATCCCAGGGCCGTTTCAGGCTGTGGGCAGCGCATGCATTGAACTCTTGTTGTTGTCGATTCCGAGCTATTGAATGCGTTATTAAATATGCAGACATTACATTGCGTGACGAAAGAATGTATGTTGCACATCTCCCGTGCGGAGGAGCCCCTCTGTAACGTTTGTCAGAACATGGCAAGCCCACCTTTCACCAATACGAGGGCGTGTTTTGTGAGCTGCCTAATGCAGCATTAGTAATGCCAAAAACGTGTGTATGTTCGTGCTGATCATCTGCTGGCGACGGCTCAGGTTGATGGATGCTGAGGGGGACATTCTTTTTAATGGCAAGCCACTGGACAAAGCGATGAAGAGGCGAGTGGGTTTTGTTCTTCAGGTGCGGCCTAGCCTTTGTCTGAGCAGCGCACGTCCTTGCACAAACTCCAGCCAGAAGCCACTTCGAATAGATTGGCGGAAGGCCAAAGCGCTCAAGTACGCTGCGCTGAACGCCATTCTGGCCACAATGTCCAAGCCCAAGTACTCTCACCTGACTGCTGAGCGCACTCATCTGCAACAGTTTTTGCCTCAGGTTGCACCAGACTCCATATTCGACAGCACTTTGTTGCGCCACTTTTTCACTGAAAGCCACTCAACTCTTCTGGTTTTGCTCTCCACCCTTGCGGTTTGCTTTCTGTTCCCATGCGTGCACAAAAAATGCGTGCATGAATTGTTACTTTTGTTATCAAGCACAGCGTAAAGAGCAAACGGGAATTAACCGCCGCCTCCGGCGTTTTGAAGTGTCCCTTGAATGCCGCTGAAAATTGTGATATGCCTTTGGTGGAGATCAGTGCCACTGTGCTAGACTACTGTACCACTACAGTATTTTTTGGGAATTGCGTGACAACGTCATGCCATTGCCATATTAGTGTGCCCTGACAAGTGTGACGGGTGTGACGGGTGCGACAAGTGTGACAAGTGTGACAAGTGTGTCAGTAAACGAAACACTATTTTCGCGTTGAGTGTGACAGATACGCTCATTCCTCCATTCTGATCTCCAAATCTTCTCCATTACGTATATATGGTGGTTGACGCATCAACATTTGTTGTGTCTCATGGTATCATAAAATGAATTGCTTGGGGGTAAATATGCCAAAGTGCGTAAACATACAAAGTGTGTAACTTCATTACTTATAATGATGAGCATTACAACGAAGGTAGTATACGTGCATCAAAATGTACTTGAAGATGAAGCTGTACAGTACAGGCTTATTATTTACGCCGCAAGCGCAGACCGTATTTACATTTTGCGTGGGAAAGTAGTTTTGCGGCTTTACCGGTGAGAGTGGGTAAGAATACGTAGATACAACGTAGACGCAGCCCCGTGTACATTAGGACAGTACATGTAGACTTGGAAGCATGAGGGGGCGGCAGCCAGGCGCGCTGGAATGTGCAGAAAACGAACTTTTGTTCCTTGCCATCGTTGCCCTTGCCAAGGGCGAGGTGGACTCCATGTTGCGGGTGTTCGAGGGGACGGAGGGCTGACCATGCTGTGTGAATTTCATCGTGTAACCTGGATGTCACCACCAGCCGCAAAACATAAATACAGCCGCAAAAATAGCCCCTTTTACAAATTTACGTTTTTGCGAATAAAAACGCAAGCGCAGAAACGTGAAGGTGAATGTAAATAACAAGCCTGGTGCAATGTACGTTGTGTTGTTTGGTTGTGCGCAAAAAATGTGACCAATTTTATTTATCCCGCAGGTTCGAAAAAAAGGAGCGTGTGGAATCCGTCATCTCTACCCTGGGTCTCACGAAGTGCCGCGACACGCTCATAGGTGCGGCTCTGGGAGCACTCTCGCACTACTGAATTAAGTACTGGGCTGATGTGGTTCCACAAAGTCTGGATGCCGCTCGGAGTTTGGGCTGTACAGCGCTCGGTATGGATTGGCTGATCACATTCACCGTTGGACAATCATGCATTATTCATCATTGGTCGTTATAGGTCATTGGTGGGTTGTATGCCAGCGATATATCCAGTGCAGAAAAAGGAAAAATGGGCATAGAACACTATCTGTACCGCGTTCGGTGGTGTGGATGGCATCGACTGATGAAGCCAGACCGCATCCTTAGATACGTTTCGCCAGGTGGATTAACACACGTTTTATGGAAAATGGCTTTTATGTCCGTATTTATGGTACCTCGTTGCAGCCCTGTTTTGCTTAAAGGGTGCAGGGTATGCATCGCTGCTGCCTGGTTCAGTGGACTCACCTTCATCTGTGGCCGATTGTTTTCCAAACGGTTTCCTGCTGCACCACTTCTGCAACACGAGCAAAGGTTTGATCGCATGGCACCATGTTAGCGCACTGGCACAGAGCCGCGCTTGCCTGGAAGGCTGTATTCAGCGACTCGAACAATTGTTACTTCGCCTAAAACTTCCCAATTTGCTGCCGGAACTTCTGCGCCGCGCTCACTGGGCGATACTCTGCATCTGCAGGCGGCTTCATGATGAGAGGCGTGTCAGGCGGGGAGCGGAAGCGCGTGTCTGTGGGGCACGAGCTGCTGATCGACCCCGCATTCCTACTGCTAGACGAGCCCACAAGGTAGGTCCTAAATTCGGACCGCCTGAGTACTCGCACAATGTGACTCTCATTTTGTGCGCCTTTGACGCATGCCGGATCCCTGAATGCGTTTCTTGCAACTATATCCTATTGTCTTTCCTATGTGTCCTACATAGCTCGTGTTGTCAGCGGAAGCTTAGTGGCTGCTCCTGAATAATATACTGCAGTCCGTGATGTATGTACTACATATCACGGACACTCTTTTGGGTAGCGGCTTGTGCAAAGGCATGGTATTTAAGTTAGTGCTGGAGGAAGTACATAAGTATCCACAGTTATAAGTATCAATACGTACAAAAGTATACCAGTTCAATAATATAACAAGCCATAAGTATCATGCATACATAACTATCTTATTGAAGTCTCATATTGCTGCATTGTCCGGTGCTGCAGCGGCCTTGACGCCACCACTGCCATGAACCTGCTGACGACCCTGAGGCTGCTGGCGCAAGGCGGCCGCACGGTGCTGACGACCATCCACCAGCCCTCCAGCCGCATCTACAGGCAGCTGGACAATGTACTGCTACTGAGCGAGGGCCACACAATGTACTACGGGTCGGGAAAGCTTGCCATCGAGTGGTTCGGCAAGCTGCACTACAGGTGCCCGTATGGGGTCAACATCGCGGACTACATTTTGGACTTGGCTAACGGCGACATGCTGGCCGATGGCAGGTGTGCTGCTGTTTTGTTTCGATCCGAACGTACGATATTTATTTTCAATTGCGATATTCTTGCGATATTTATCTTCGATTTTAACGTGCGATGGCTGTTTCCGATCTCAAAGTGGGAAATGTTTTTCGATTCCAAAGGGCAATGCCAAATTTGAGGGTACAATTCTGGGTCCTTCTGGCAGGAGAGGACTGGCCCTTGTGAACACCTAGCAAGAAAATGGGCAGAAATATGGAGACCCAAGATTGGTCGAAAATAATAAATTAGTTGAAAGTAGAACTGAGAGCTGAAGGAAGGGAAGCTCATTGCGGGTGCCACTGATCGCTTGCATGAAGGCTGCTGTTTGCTTCACCACCAGAAAACACATAACAGTGGACACACTGCTTTTGTGCGGTTGGATGGCGACATTGCCTTCAGTGGCTGACACGTAATTAATGGAATTTCCTCATCGTCGTTGAAACGAAAACCGAAGGTCCTCACACGGTCGCTCCCAGGCACGGGAAACAAAACCGCAACCAGATCCGTTACAGGACAGACAATCAAATACACCAATCAAATGGCACTTGCTGTAAATGTTCTCAGTTGGTAATCACCGTATCCCATGTTCATTTCACCGTATTCCAACACCATGTTCCCCGTGTTCAGTGACACTATATTTATCACCTTCCCCTTGTAACTAACTGCTTATTTTTCTCGTTCTCACAATCATCGTCATCATCAGAGAATACATGCCAGAAGCTGATCGGGAACATTTGTGGGGCTGTGCAGCCGCGACGACGAAGCCAGAGAGGGGCTCATCGCAAGGTACCGATACTTTGGGGACTCGCACCCCAATGGCCTGCAGAGCGAGTCCGAGCTTGAGGGCGCCGACCTGCCGACGAGCGTCAAGAGCCTCGACGAGGACGCGGCCGTCCTGCAGGTGCTGAAATGGCGCCCCTCGCCTGCAGCGCGCAGCAAAGTGAATTCCAGTAGCGAGCTGCGTACAACACTTGTGAAAGTGGTACCAAGAACGCGGTCGAGATGACCGATTTGGCACCACTGTGGCGTGGCTTGAACGCAGTTGAAAGCCGTTTCGACATGGGCGATTTTCTGCTGGTGATACATATGTGCTGTAGATCTCGTCAATGTATCCACACTGCAATGTGATTTGTGGCCACTTTGACTCCCATCCATTTGGGTACACCCCCCCACCCCACTTCCCCACCCCACCCCCACCCCCCGATCAACACAAGACAAGGCGTACAGCTGATGCGCCTGATGCTCATTTGTGATTGATGGACGGAAATCGCCGTGATGGATCTCCATTGTTCTCGATCCAGAGCCCAGTTGATTCTGTTTACAAGCTAGCAGGGCATGTGAGCAAAACGCTCTAGAAAACAAACGTAAGAATAACATGCATAAGGGAAATGTCGCTGCACAGGTCAAGGTCACGGATGGACGGAACGTGGAGCCTCTGGAGGAGGCCGACTCGCCGGTGAAGAAGTCCGATCGGTGGGGCGCCAGCTACGGGGGCCAGATCGCCATTCTGTTCCAGCGTTGCGTGAAGGTTCGGCGCACGGACGCCCTTGGACTGCAGAACTACCTGCGGCTGCTGCTGGTCGCCGCGATCGCAGGTGAGCAGGGAAACGACGCAGACACGCGGTGATCCCGTTATTGAAGCTGAGCTCCTTCATGTCATATGTTCGCGGTTCACTGGAGAGTGGCTGCTGAGAGGCCGCACTCTCGGCAGGAGGACCGCGATGCGATGCAGCATTCCCTCGGCAGCCACTTAGTGAGGCAGCTGCTGATTCACTGCTTGGGCACCCAGCTTGGCCCCCCTTGAAGGGAGTCACCTAACGTTGGAATCATGTATCGATCGAGATCTACACAATCTTGACTCGGGGAACGATGACGTGCTCTTCAGATCTTGGAACCGGAAAGCTAAAAGAAGTTGTTGAGATTCGCTAAAAACAGTTAGAACAAACAGTTGAGATGTACTCAATGGTGATAGTGGCAACAATTTGAACAATGACGGTATCAGTGACAACAATATAATAGTGCTTGCGGTAATGTGGAGAATGGTAATGACAGTTTATGAATGAAAACGATTCCTCAGTGCACACTGTTGGGGAAGCGCCTTGAGTGCGCAAGTCGTGTTTGCCTGATACTTGGATGCATTTCCAATCTGATGTGTGGAGCATCTAAAGCACTGCAAAGTCTTAGCAATACTGTGCCGGTTGCTGTGAGGCCCCTGACAGGTCGATGGGCCTCTCTCCGGATGGCCTGCGGTGTGCTGGTGTGCCAGCGCTTGTAGCACCCAACATGCTGCCAAGCTATTGCAAGTATTGCATTAGCTACAAGGAGATGCACCGATCAGCAGCAAACAGCAGCAAGTACTGTGCTAAGTACCAAGAGGCGCTCTGATTGATGTCTGTGCCCTTCCCCAGGCATCTTGTGGTGGCAGGTCGGTGGCGACGACACCCTGTTGGCAGCCTCTGACGTCATCGGCCTCCTGTTCTTCGAGATGCTCTTCATGTCCTTCTACGCCATGTTCCGCGCCCTCTTCACCTTCCCCAACGACTTCAACATGATGCTCAAGGAGCGCCGCAGCGGCATGTACCGCCTGTCCACCTTCTACATCGCCCGCACGCTCTCCGACCTGCCCATGGACTGCACCATCCCCACGCTCTTCGTCATAATCGTCTACTGGTCCACCGGCCTGAGGGTCACCGCGGGGGCCTTCTTCGCCAACTGGCTGTCCATCATGCTGGTCACCCTCGTGGGCCAGAGCCTGGGCATGCTCATAGGAGCCGCTGTGATGGACGTCCAGCAGGCCCAGACCATCACCAGCGTGCTCATGCTCGGCCTGATGCTGGTGGGAGGCTTCTACGTGAGGGACGTGCCTGACTGGGTGGGGTGGCTAAAGTACGGCAGCTTCATGTGGTGGGGCTTCAGCCTGCTGAACAAGATAGAGTTTGGGGACAGGTCTTTCGTGGACTGTGGGGGCCTGGGAGAGGCCACAGACGGGCCGGTGCAGTGCGTGCCTGTGGACAGCCTGAAGGAGGCGCTCAACCTGCCCACGGACGTCAACGACAGCGTCTGGCCAGAGGTGACCTTCCTTCTGTCCTTGCTGGTCGTCACGAGGGCGGTGATCTACTACGTGTTGCAGAGGAAGACCCGCTCCTGAGGGGCTGGTGATGAGTTTTGCGTTTTTTCCTTCGCGGGCGGCGCTGTACTCTTGCTTGAATTAGTTGGTTAATTGGGTTGGTTGGGTTTAGGCTGTTGGGTTGGAATTCCAAGTCTGGGAAATTTTTTCTTTCCAGTTTCTTTGCTTTGAAGTGGCCGGGGGTTCGGTCATTAGAACGGTTCATTTGTGGGGATCCTATTTAAGCTGTTTGGCTGAATTTCCAAGTCTGGAGATTATTTCTTTCCTGTTGCTTCGTTTTGAGAATAAACCCCGTGACCGTTTGGGTTTGCGATTGCGTGGGAAGGGCTCTGTGCTGTGCCGCTGCTGTGAAGTGGAAGGGAGTTGGTCCACGGGGATAGAGAGCTGTTTCGTTTCCTCTTGCTGCCACCGTTGCCGTTTCATTTGAATTAGCCGGATAGTTGTCTGCGCGCAGCCACAGTGGCCTGGCGCATGCACCTTGCATGTTCACTGGTGTTGTTGCTGGTCGTTGCTGGGGTGTTACTGGGGCTCCAAGCTTCGGTTTGTTTTGGAGGGATTCTTTCAACGGGTTTTTAATTTGACAAATGAAGAATAGTCTGAAATTTATGCAGACACTCCGCTTTTATGGAGTGCGAAATGGTGTAGGTGATTGCTATGTAAACTTCATTTCGATGCTGATTGCTCCGACTGCTCCACGGCATGAATGTGCCCAACTCTCACAACACCGGGTATCACGAAGAGTACACCGTTGTAGCGATTTCGTGCGATATGCTTTCGATCTATTTCACGATCCATACGAAAGCCACCGGTGCCTATCAGCGCACACTCACACTTAGAATCAAAGTACTACAGAGACCACGTTCTATGCGATGAAGATGACGATATTGGTATGAAATCATAGATGCGACCCCCAGGAGCCCACTGATCCAAACTTTCGATGCCCAAAGAATGGTAGTAATTTAAGGACGGGCGCTACGTACTCCAGTGTTGCAAGGCACTGCAATGTCGCAAACTACTGCACTTCCCAATGCCGCAAAGTTCGATGCATTTACAGCCGTTTCGGACACTATTTGCCTTGAACACCTTTTCGTGCAAAATGTCGTTAGTGGATTACACAAGTGTAGAAATGGTAATGTTGCGAAACTTCAAAACATATTTTTCTTTGATCTTGAGCATGTTTATTGCATTGTGGGTCGATTGCACATATTGAACACAATAGTTTTTATAATTTGCTCGGAAATCAAGATGTTGCACACTAATTGTGCTATTGGCTCACTAACGACATTTTGCACGAAAGGCTGTTCTTGTCTTGGCTTCTTTGCAATGTGCACTCTCGCAGCGTCCGCGCCCATGTGCGATAACGGTGGTGAATTGACGTCGCACGACGCCCAAAAAAATATTTATAAAAATTTATATTTTGACTGCCATTTAGCCAATCCCGCCAAACATCCTGACCACTTCTGTCGCCGCACTGCTATGTCTCCCATACCTCCCTTCACCTGCGCCCAACCCAGTCTCGGGAGCCCAGTCCTGGGATTGTGAAGCGGAATTGGGGTGGCGATCACCTTGCCAGGGGCGAACAAAGCGCCTCCATCGCCCAGCTGGCGCCTCGCCGAGACCACCGGCCTGGGCCCCTGCCGGAATGCCGGCTTTCCTGGAAAGTTCCGGAATCTGTTGAAAGAGTCGTGAAGTTTCTGGGGCCGCCGAGTATCGAGGTGTCGGATGCGTCCACTCTCAACCTATTCTGTTTGGTGCATTGATGGGTCGATGTTGCGTTGAATCTTAGCTCGACCTTGCGCCCAACACGAACTGCAGTCCTTATGTATTACAATGAATGTCACATTGACATTGCAACACAGGGTTGAAGCATTGGACCCAGTGGCAGCAGTCAAGCTCAAAGGCCTTGTCCTTGCCTGCAAGAACCTGCGACATTGTACTGATAGCCGCCTGGTGACATAAATGTTGTCGGGTCATGCTTTCTGCTGATCTTTATGCGGTTGGAAGCTGGTCATCACCCCGCTTGGCTGAGTGGCAATGTGTGGGCGGGGTTTCGGTTTGGCGTTGATTGCATTGGTCAACACAGAACAACGAATTGGCCTCGGCCCATCAGCCCATGATCATATGGAGGCAAGAGTGTCATCAGTGTGTTGTGGGCCTACCTTTCCGTCGCTGACGCATTGCGTCGCTCCCCAAATCACTTGGGAGAAAAGGGCCAAATAACACGTGTTCAAATGTGTACAAAGTTTATGGGTTTGTGTTGTTTCCGTGTGTTTAGCATGCAGAACACTGATGAAATGCAT